TGCCCAAAGTGAGTGGTGGAGCTGGGGCTGGCAATTAGATACCATTGCTCTATACTCCTCCCCACACACAATCGCTTCTCCCAAATACAATCCCCATCCAGCTGAAGGATTTGGGGCCCTTGCCCTTTGCACAACAGCTTTCTTGCTGCAATTGTTTCCCTTCTCCTCCTGAAAATGAGCAGGCAACCCCACACCCTACCTATGCCATGGACTTGCTTCCCCTTTCACCTCCCCTCACCAAGTCACAGGCCCCCCCTTGCTTTCCCTTTCCCCTACCACATGCTACTTCACCAAGACACAGGCCCCCCAGCTTCCCCTTTTCTCCTTCGTGAGAGGCCCCTACCTGCTCACTCTTTGAAATCCCACACTAGCCAGTCTCTGCCTCGCTCCCTCTGCTTTCCCCTGCTGAGCCCCTGGTGCTGCTCCTGAGGTGGGGGAGGAACTCCAAATAAGGCTGCTCTGAGACTGAGACTTCTAAGTGCCTTAGTCCCAGAGGACTAAAAAGACAGTCTCTGAGTATGTGCAGCCCTTGGCACTGCTCTAGACATTCAATAGACGGACGACACCAGCGCCTCTTGCTGCACTCTACTCAGGGCACTGAAGGGGCTAGAACACTGGAGGAAGTTTATTTAAAACAGTAAATGCATCATAAAATGAAGCACCTATTTGGCCTCTGTGAACATACTGGATGCCAGAGTCCCTCTCTCTCTCTGGCCCAATGACTAGAGCCCTGCAAATCTGCTGGTATCTGCTTTATATCCACGGACTATTTCTGCAGATAGCAGCGCGGATGCAGATACAAATTTTGTATCCACGCTGGGCTCTGACGGTAAGAGCCAGGTGGGCAGCGCTTAGGAACCACAGAATGGATCCTCCACCTACCCTGGGGGGGGGGGGAGAAGTCTGGGGAGCAGGGACACTGGGCAGCTCTCAGCCCCACCCCCACTCCCTGCACGGGCAGGTGGAGGGTCTGTCGTGGCTCCCCACAGCTCCCGGTTGGGCTCCATGCTGGCCTAGAGCCAGTTAGAGTGGGGCAGGCAGCTGTAGGGAGCTGTGGCAGACCCTCCACCTGAGGGCAGGGGGGCCTGAGCAGCCTTCAGGCAGCTCCACAGGTCTCCCCCCTCCCCCCAGCCAGGCCAGTGTGGAGCCCAATTGGGGAGCCATGGGAAGCCGCGGTCGACCCTCCACCTGCCCGTGGTGTGTGTGTGTGTGTGGTGGGGGGAGGACTGAGCAGCCCCCTGC